GCACTGGAGCTTGGTCCCATCTTCTGTGCTGGGGTATCTGCCTGCAGCAGAGGAAAGAAGAGCAATTCAGGAAAGCAGGACAACAAGATAATGGAGAGAAAAATGAGCAGTACATTTCTACTTACATAAAGAAGAAAAAAACCAGCACACACTCAGAAAAAACAAGAGGCTAAACACTAACAAAGTGCCACAACAATGTTATGAGGCTCCCTCTTCCTTCCTTGTCCATATATTAGATGCACTGGTTAGTGTTTCTCACATCTGAAAAGTGGGATCTCAGAACAATACTGAAGATAGAAAATGTACAATGAAGGCACCAAAGTAAACATCTTATGATGCTGGAAACAAAATCCTTAGCCTTTTTTTTTTTTTTTTAAGGTGAGAAAAAGGAAAACTGCATTAAAGAAAAACTTCATTAAAAACTGGAATTGCACTTCCAGACCTGCCATATCAATGACATTTCAACGACATTTCAACAGCAATATTTTAATACAGTTTTACATGAATGATTGCCATAAAGTTAAGGCATAGTGTAGTTGAATATGATTCAGAATTCATCAGAGCTTTCTTGTTTATTTTGCTGCTGAAGTTCCCCTCGGGAAATGCCAAGCTTTAACTGCGTACCTGCCGCCAGCATTGTGGTTGAGATGCAAGCTGGAACTGACAGAGGTCTGCAACGATCTCATTAATTTTTCACATTTTCCTGCTCCTGAGTTTCAGGATTTGAAATTGTTATGTACCTTCAGAACAGTACAGAGTGATCAGAGACAAATGCTCATGCTTATGTCATTTACACTTATTGAGTTAGATGAAACCTTCCAAATGCAAGCTTGTCATGACACCTTTCCTCTTTATTTGTAGTCCAACCTTAATCCAATGCTATCTGGGAGTAAATAAACTTTAAAGGGAGTAACTGCTCTTTCTCACAGCAGATGATATATTCTCCTGTATTCTGTCATGTATAAAATATTAATGTGGATTGTTTCCTAATTCAAATTGTGTCTATGTTTTTAGTGTCTCTTTCCTTGAAAAATAGATCAATACTTGCTGACTGTGGTGCTTTTTGTTAATGTTCGGACCTTCTGAGTACATTTCTACACTATGTAAATATTTATGTGTCAAGTAGCAGTGGTCTTTTAAAAAACAGCATTCAACATCTTAGCTATACTGGCATTCCCATTGGATAAAATATATATTTAATTTGCATTCTGCCTCTCAATAAGAATTTATTTTGGCATGTATGAATATATATTATATGTAACAAGAATTGGGTAATAAAATATAAAATAAACCACTCTTCTGATAAATACAGATTCATTTTTTTTCAGGCACACTGAGAAAAGAATAAATTAATTAACAAATGAATAAGAAATCCACAGGTGGTTACAAGTGTATTCATTTGTCTCATGGATATTTTTGTTGCTCAGGGAAAAGGTCCAACACAGTATTATAAAATTAAAAGCCCTGGTGTGCACCTGTGAGGTTGTTCAACTCTTCATGAAACACAGTACTTTGGGAAGTACAGGAGTCCGATATACACTGTTCTTACCACGACTTTTAATGGTGAAGGTCCTTGAAATATATAGTGGGTAGCTATACTTTAATCTCTAATTAAATGCTTTGATATAATCATCAGAGGTTTTCATTGCCTTATACTTTTTAATCTATATTCAAAGCTCACACTTGGTTTACAATTTCCAGTCCATCCGCACTGGTGCTGGCATGATCCTCAGATTCCATTTTCAGCAACTGGAAAATCATGATCTCACTGAAAGCTGTGGAATATCTCCTCTGGGAAGCAACAAATTAGAGTAACATTTATGCAAATCCCAAGAATCCCATTCTCTTCCTCATTCAATCTGCTAAAGAACAATAATGCATTTAACCACTTTGCACACAATAATGATGTTATGTGAAGGGAAAATGAGATGTGAGAAGGCATGAAGTCTTGAGGTGCATCAAGTCTTGAAGCACTTTGAAGACACTTGAGGGCCTTTGCAAAGTTTTCCACGTCTGTGGGTCCTCAGGCAGGGCTCTCAACCCTCCAGCTACACAGTAATGTGGATGTAGTTGCATTAACTCCATGCTGAAAACCTTGTTCCCTCCACTCTTCAAACCCTCTCTTTGTAGGTATTCCCTGTATAGAATATTCAGGATTCTTTCTCTTGTAACTGAATGCCCGCTCCATTAATCCTCTTCTTTTTTACCTTGTGTGCTTCTTGTGAAGTCTTGCAGCTCTTGCCTTGGGTTTCCTAGGGGAACATTGAGCCCTGGTTCCCTTGTTCTTCAAATCAATGGCTCCTTTTGATTGAAATTCTGGCCTTTGCCTCTCTTATCTGCAGTTAACTTGTACTTCCTTGATCTATGTGCTCCAGAGGCTACCCCAGTGTCCATGCATCATCAGGTGATGACAAAAAGCTGGTCTATTTAGGCTGCCAGCAAGGTGATTGACAGTTTTTCACTATGGTAATTCACTCTGACTGCTTTAATGTGATGAACAGGGTGCCATGAAACAGCAGAACAAGCCTGTTAATCACATCCATTTGAAACACTATGAGAAAATTAATGAAGGTCTATGCATAAAATAATGAAAACACAAAATAAAAGTGTGTTTTCCCACAAGCTAATTAACAAAGTGAGGCACTAAATGCCACCTGTAAGAAAGGTATAAACCAATTAACTTTCCATACTTTAAAGAAAAGCACAAAATACAAAGGTTCTATTTACTGTTATAATTGTGTCTAATTTGTGACTTGCCTAATATACAAAAGAAAAAATCTTTATGCATTTGCACATATACCCACTTCTCAGACAGCTGCCTGGGACAGTGGTGCTGCTGATGAAGAAAGGTGGGCACACCTAGAGTGGCTGCACAATTTCATGTGCCCATAGTTTTGTGATTTATTTGTTTATCATTTGCTTAGTGTATTTTTGCTGTTGTAGATTCAGAAATATTTTTGGGGTGAGATGTTACTCTTGAGAAGGTTTAGAGAAAAGGGAGCTCCAGGGAAGGATGCAATGAACAAAAGTATCTAGCAACCATATTCAGAACAATGAAAAGCAGCTAAGCACTGAATAGCAGACCTAGTGCAAAAAATTAAAAATCTGATTATAACAATCCTTCACTAACAATATTTCAAAGGCAATTCTACCCCTTAAAATGGTAATTGAGTAAAGACTTATTTTAAGCAAGACTTAATCAGAGTTCTATTCAGCAGTAAAAATAGACAAGGACATTAAAATGAAAAAAATTTTCATCAAGTGAAAATAAAATGAGTAAGTTATAAGTAAAAATTAATCCAGCCAAATTAAAAAATAAAAAAATAGTTTTATTTAGCCATTGAATTCTATCTGAGCCAGCCACAAAGAATAGGGCAGTGCTGAGCCCAGGGTCAGCGCTGGGTGAGACAGAGGTCTGACTGCTACAGCAGAGGGTCTCCTATGCTGCACACTGAGCGTCCTGCGAAGGAGACCTTTATATGGTTTATTTTACTCAAAGCTAGGATTTTGGCAATCAGCCTTTTCTTTCCATTCAAAGTCCCACATATTCATAAAGTCTCTTTTCTCTGTGCTGAGTTGAACAATCCAGTGTCTGGGAAGCGATGTACATCCTTGATGGAGTTACAGGAACTCGGCATTGAGATATATCCTTTTAGATGAGTCCAGTGATTCCAGTCTTGGGTTGTTGTCAGGATGATCATAGCTCAGGAGTTCCTGGATCACCTTGAGAAACAACCCAGATGGGCTACGTGTATCAACTTGTAAACGAGATCTTATCAGAGACAGTTTCAACATATGTCAGGCAAACCCCATAGTATCGACTCGTATGCTTTTTAATAATATGAAATATTACATACATATCATCCTACAGGCACAAATTATCTATATTACACATAACAAGCACAGGAGAATGAGGAAATAGGCTAAAGTAGTCAACATATTAAAGCTGGGAAAAGAGAAGGAGAAACAGGGAGACAGAAAGCAGTAAATGATAGAGATCAAGATGAGATAAAAGGGACAAGAAATGTCACCAATTTAAGAGGGAAGAAAAATCAGAAAAATGTCAGAAAAGAATATGGAAACTGAATAGAAGTAAAAGCTGAACTCACCAAAAGCTAATGAGATCCTACTAAAGTTGTGTTCAGAAATATGTATCTTGAAGAGAGGAGACTTTGTATACACTAAGATGTGTTGGCATTGCATATTCAAAATAAAATACAAAGTATTTATTTACTAAATATTAAGATTTTTTTCCAGTTAATATAAAATTTAAATAAATTCAATGTCCTTCAAGGAATATCTGTTTCCTTTCACACTTCTGCTTTAGAAGTCTACCAGATTTATGTGCTCTTTTTATAGAACTAAAATAAAATTTAACTCTGGAGCAGACTCGATCTTCTGCATAAAACTTGACAAATAAAAATCAGTTTTAAAGCCCTCTTCAATTAATGTGCAGCTGACAGAGACCCAGTCATCTCTGACTACAGTCTGCAGTTGTGCTGTAAATGTGCAAACTGATATTTTTACTGAAATCCAGATGATTTTTAAACATATTGCAGGATTTCTGCCTTGCTCAGAGATTTGGCCCTAAACAGAAGAGTGGATGCTTATCTCTTATTTCTTGGAGTCAGTTAGGTTAGAATAGCTGCATTCCACTACCTAAATTAATTTCAATAGATCTATTATATAGATCTATTTTCACATATGAAAATTAACTGTAGTACTATTGGAGTATGCTCTTATTAAATATACATGAGTATCTCTTTATTAATATTTCAGGTCTTGGCTGGGCCAAAGACTGTAGTAAATTATCTGTATATGTGGCCTTATTCCTGCTATATATATGTTTTTGCAAGCTTCATGGAAGAGGGATACTAATGGGAGAAAATTTAAAAAATAAAATAATTACATTATTATTAACAATAATAATTTTGTCATTGTCAAGTGTGTCCCTCAAGATTGAGCCCAACCACCTTCATCCTCCTAAGCATCTTGTCTGAGGCTGGCAGGATCTGCATCCCAAAGAGATAATTGTGCTCATTTGATCTGAACCACAGAGGCCATGTAACCTCATGAGGTAACTGCTAGTGTTGTTCATAACAATAATTTTCAGTATTTGCAAAATAACTGAATAAAAATTAATTGTTTCCACTAATTTCCAATTATTTGTCCTCAAGGCAGACTTTGCCAAATCTTTTCTAAGTCACCTAAACACAATCTCAAATAACTAATTTTTAGGTATAAATATTCCCTTCTTTCTCCTTTTCCATTTGCAGAGAAATTGAAGTAAAATCAGATGCCAGCTGCCAGAGTTGGCTTTGAACAAAACTGAGCATTGATTCTAGTTTATTTGCCTTATTCCAATCCTAGTTCTGGTCAGGACACGGTTATTTTTTCAGTAACCAGGAGGGGCTGGACTGGAACACAGAGGCTGGCTGATAGTTGGTTGATACCACCCTGTAACAAACAGTCCCTATAGACCTTTCCTTCCCCTGCTGAGGTTGGATACTCCTCTGCATCACAAATACTATCACAGCACCATTTTATATTCTTTTGAACAACGATTAGTGCTCCAGAAAACAAACTTTCTTACCACAGGTACTTGGTTTAAATTAAAAATAACAAACCCAATGGAACGATTTTTTATTCTTGAAAAATTAAATCTTAGAACTACTTAAATGACTAATAGTGATAAACTGACTTAATAACTATTTTTGTTGGAGAACTGTTTGAACGTAAAAGAGAGATTTAGATGAGATGTTAGGAATAAATTTTTTATTGTGAGGGTGGTGAAGGCTAGCAGAGGTTGCTTAGAGAAGCTGTGGATAACACTTCCCTGGAGCTGTTGAAACCAGGTTGCACAGGGCTTGGAACAAGATGGTCTAGTGGACATGTCCCAGGGCACAGCGGAGGGGTTGGAACAAGATGGTCTCTAAAGCCCCTTCCAACCCACACCACTCTATGGTGTTATGATTTGAGGATACTGCCTATAGCAGTATCTTCAAATAACATATGAATTGGATAGATTTTGTTATCCTTAGGGTTTTTGACCACATTTACAGTCATTATCACTTCACTTGACCGATGCAGAGCTGTTATTACTCACTCTGTATATAAAGCGCTTCAGTTCAAACATTCTTTTGAAAAGTGTTACTAAATATTAGAAGGGCCAGAAACAAGAAGGCTTTTTATCCTAACTGAGGCCCAGACAAATTTTAAATGATTATTTCTTGCTAGCAAGCATGTGTTTGAAATTAACACAATGACATTAAAATTTTCATCATAATTTCCTGCATGCTTTAATGTCTTTGTGAGGGCTTTCACATGTCTGTCCAACTGCTGCTTTAAAGGCAAGTGTGCACTCTCTTTTTGTTTAACTTCAAAGCATTTTTTATCTTTACAAACTTAATTTTCAAACTGCATTCACTGATGCCCAGCAACAGAGTCCACATTAAATGGGACTGTGTAGTTTCTTCAGAGTTAATTCAAATATGAAATTAACATTTTTCACCCCTCAGGTATTTTCCTGCAGAAATCATATTTTGGCATGTAGGTACAACCTTCAAGATAAGGACCAATGAAAAAAATGTAATTTAGGAGTCGCTAGGAAGTTACTGAGGACATTTGGAGTAATTTAAACCATTTATTTACTCAAGTGACTCAAGATTACTCCATAGTCTGACAGAGACATAATCATAATTTTAGGTTGACAAGTATTCTAAATTACTTCACAGATCAGCTACTCTTTCAGCAGAGCCAGTGATATGGTCTCAGGAAATCAAGCCCAGCACAAGCATTCGCTGCTTAACCTGGTAAAGGAGAGACTGGTAAGTCTCTCTAGGATGACATCCCACTACACTGGCGTGGCCTCCAGGCATACCAGGAGCAGGAATGAGCAGCAAGACTCCTTCACCCTGGCCCCAGAAGGTACCAAACCATGCACAAAGGACCTGAGACCCAACACAAAACCAGGTGCCTTAGGACACAGCCAGCAAAATGGTGAATTATAATCAGAGTATAATCAGAGATTAATTTTTGAAGGGAAATCTGCAAGATAATGTTCTTTTGTTCTCACAGACAGAGATCACACAGAGCGCTGGACATCCTGGGAAAGGAATAATCCTGGATTATGGCACCACTTTACATATGTGTAACCCCAATGTACTCAGCCATGGTGTTTCCCTGTACCAAGGTGAGCATTGATGCCATCACAGAGCACCATCAGTATCATTTATTGACAAGGAATGATAGAATTATGATCTCTTCTTCTTAAGGAAAGGGAGAGATTGTCTATTCCGGGTTTTAAACCTAAACAAACCCTCACCATCCTGTGATCAGTAATAATATGTCATGTTTCTGTTCCACAGCAGCAGTTAGTGCTTGGCACAGGACCAAGGCTTTCAATTAATTCCTTTACAGCTTTTAAAGTTTCTCTTCCTTTGCCATGTGCAATTAATTCCACTTCAGAATTCAGAAGGGATTAGAACATGATCACTGTATCTTAGCATCAGGATGAAGGCTGCAGATACAAAGTCAGATTTAGAAATTGCTCAGAGCTATTATGCTCCTGGACTTTAATATCCATTTATTCTGCCTGATGATAATCTTTTGTACTTAAGGCAACCAATATTTAGTGCAGCCAGGAAGATATTAAAAATGTTTCTGGCTTCTCAGTTGGTATCTCAAACCAATAATTTAAATTTCCTTCCTCCACCAACAGACTTTGTGATTATTTTGCAGAAAACACACGAATAAATGTGGTGACTCTCCCCTAAGACAGACTGCTGTGACAAAAAAATACAGCATTACCAGGAGTTAAATCTTTTGAAGCCCCTCTTAAATAAGTTGAATAAGGAATGCATTATTGTGTGTACACATACATTTACACAGAGGCATGTATGTTGCTCCTTTGCATGTCATTTCAGTGGAAGCACAGCTCAGGCTCTGGAAGCTGAAGAAAACCTCAGCAGGGGTGCTAGAGAAATGCAGGTGATGAGCTCCAGCCTGCACCAGGAGGACAGTTCTGCTCAGCAAATTCTACTTTGGCAGCTGTCTTCAGAAATGCTCCTTTGCACATCAGTCTGACAAGGAATGCCATCCCAAGGGATGATAGATCTGGCAGGTTGCCTGCAGGTGATGGAGCCATCCTGGGAGCACAGGGCAGCAGCTCAGTTATTCACGGAAATGACTCACTCCATCAGCCACCTGTGCCCCGCAGCAGTGTTTGTAAACTCAGAGTGTGTTCCAACACAGCAAATCTGCTAGGTTTGCAAACACCTTCCCTGGGAGGCAGAGCCACAGGACTCCCTTGTGCTGCAAGGCCCAGAGAAGGTCAGAGGATTTTGGCTATATTTAACAAGATTTGGAGTTGATGAGAGGATGCAGTACAACTCGAAGAGAAAGGCATGGGACACTGTGCAGCTCAGGTTTGAGCATACCATCAAGGGGGAATTGCCTCCAAAGATGTATTGGCTCAAAAGTGGGAGGGGACAGCTTACCATCCCTCAGATAGAGGGCTCAGCCTCATTATTTGTGCCAGCAGCTGAGCTGGGTTTACACCACTGCATTGCACTCCTTTCATCAGAAAGCTTGGGCTTGAGATGGGCTGATGAAAGCAACTTGAAAAGGATTATTTATATTCAGAGTCTCACAGTGCACAGTATGAGATCAAACCACTGGATTTAAATGATTGAATAAAAATAAAGAAATTTAAAAACACATTTGTCCTGGCCCAGCCAGGAAAAGAAATTTCCTGGTTTACTTGGTTCATTGTGGAAGAGAGGATTGACGTGTTCTCTGGGGCACTGTCATGGTTTGACAAGGAGGAGAATTTTCTCAGGAAGTTGGTAGTCAAACCAATCAGTGTCACATTTGGATATTGGCACCTGGAGTGACCACTGAGGGCTGGACACGCCTCTGAGAACACAGGGGGTTAAAAAGCAAGAACTCTGAGGAGAACTCTCTCTTTGGTTCAGGTCATCAAAGGGAGCAGACCTCCCTTGCCCAAACCTAGAGGGAAAGAAACAGAGAGCCTGAAGACACCTGGAAGTTTGCCACCAGAGAAGGAGAAGGTGGGGGAAGGTGCCCAGTGTGGGAGATGGAGTCCTGGGCTGAGATTTCAGCCTCCAGGGAGTCTGGAACTTTTAACTCTTTCCTGGGGAATGAAGGCTTTGTGAAATATTACTCCTCCTGGATTTGAAGGAAAGAGAGACAGTCTGGGACCTGAGATGTTAGGAAAAGTAGTTTGGGGGGAGATGATGGAGTGGCTTTTGGCTGGACTTTTCTTGTTAGCCATAGACTGAACCAATTTCTCCTCCAAGAGAGACAGCATTTTAGGGTGATACATGGTGAGCCAAGAGACCTGCTTCAGCAACTACCAGCAGGAATGGAGTGAACAGAGAAAAGCTGAGGAGGGTGTGTTGGTGCCCTCTGTCTTCAGGAAGATGAAGATCTTTGTTTTCACTCCTGGCCCCAGGGGAGGAGGAAAATGGGGGGGACTGTAGTCCCAAAATGAGACACTGGACTGTTATTCCTTCTGGTCCTTGGCAAAACATCCTTAAAGGAGCCCTATGAGCAGTCTGTCCATGCAGTGGTGAGAGCACTGTGACATGGAGAGTGTCACACTGGCAGATTTTCTCCAGGTGGTGTCATGTGTGACATGGAAACACAAGAGGTGGCAGCTGTGTTTCCTGGGGGTCTATGGTGCAAGGGAGACTCCTCTCTCTCCTGATGGACTCAGAATTGATTATACTGAAGGGTGATAACTCGATTAAGGGTCCAAGTTGTGTCTCACTGTGGTTTGTTGTGTGGGGGGAGGAGGAATGTTTTGGAAGGTTTTCATTTTGGATTTGTGTGCGGTTTTCTTCTTTTTCCTTTTATCATAGTAGTAGTTTAATAAAGTTTTGGGTTTTTTCCCTTTGTTATTAAGCTTGGGCCTGCTCTGCTCTGTTCCAGACCACATCTCACAGCATTTATTTGGGAAGGTGCATTTTCACGGGGGTGCTGGCATTGCGCCAGTGTCAAACCCATGACAGGTACCAGACGTCTCCTTGCAATTTATGGAGTGCTGTCCCACATGGGACTAGAAAGCAAGACCAACTCAACATATGGGTAGCAGAAGACAGGTTAATGTGCACATGAACCCATATTACGTATTTTTAAAAAAGAGCAGAAAAAAAGAGCAGAAGAAAAGCTGGTATTTCCATTACTAAAATTAGAAAGAATTGATAAGCCACAGAAGTATGAAAAGTTGTATCAGATGAAAAAAATTGCATGCAATGAAAAAAACTGCATGCCAAATTTAAAAGACAGATCTGGAAAGAGCTTAAGGAAGTGCAAAATGAATAGAGATCATGTGAGAATGGGATTTAATTCATTTTAGAAAGATATTTCTATAGTAACTTGCTGCTGCAGAAACCACTTTCTGACAAAGAGATATTAAAGTGATGTTGTGTCTCTTGAAAACCCTGCACACAGGCTTCTCTCAGTTTAGCCCACCTGTCTTTGCAAACAGCCAGAGTGTCAAGGTCTTTCATTTAAAGGTGACTTCAGAATATGTTTTCCAGCTTTTTTTAGAGCACCCATTTCTTTTTAGGAAGATCTCTAACCTTAATATGGAGGCAGCAGTGATTCTCTCTTGTAGATCTTGCTGCTGTGATCATATTTAATGGTTTTGTATTATTTCAATGCTTTACTTCCCATTTTCCACCAACAGTAGCTGGAAAAAGAGGCAACTGGAGGAGTTGCAGCTACCCAACATAGAGCATGCATTGTGCAAATGAAGAGGGAAGCAGTCGGATGGTATTGCTGATACATGGCAGCTGCTTCTTACAGGACAGTCACAGTGATGTATCTCACAAAGCATAAGGCACTTCACCAGATGATTCTAGATGTTCACAGCAATTATGAAGAATTTCTCCTGAGTCACTGAGTACTTGGTCTCCATGAGGAAGATTTCACCGACTGTAATCTGTTCTGTGTGACTCAAGTCTAATCCATCACAATACCCTCCTGTTTGCAGCTGATGGTGGAAACAGTGGATGTAGCAGGTTATCAAAATAAAATCACTAAGCCCTCTCTCCAAAGGAACAGAAGCCTGAAAATCACTACACGAGTATTTCACATCTTACATGCTCTCAACTGAAACCTGAGTGTCTGGTTTCTCATCTTTCAGGATGTCTGTGATCAAGCACTCCAGCTCTTTACTTCACTTCCAATTCCTTCATCATCTGCAGTCCACCCATAAGCCCTGCCTCAAGGCTGTAGTAACCTAAGCTGTTAGTTAAGGTCTCTGTGCAGCTCAATAGGATAAGGTTTAGCTGTCTAGAAGACCTTCAGAGTGAGCACAAGATAGCTGTCAAAGAAAGTCACAGCTAAGAAGTTTCAGAATAAAAGATCTTAGTGCTGAGAGATTTCTTTACTTCAAGGAAGTTGAAAATAAGGCTATAGAAAATAAGGACAGAACAGCTTTGTTTATACCAAACTTTGGCCAAACTTATGTTCAAACTCAAGTCCAAGGACTCCTTCCCCTTGATGGTCATCTGGCAGAGCTGACCCTGCAACAGAAGGCTGCTGAAGAGTCGCAGAGCAGCTTGAAGGGGACAGAAGCAGCCTCTTGACTGTCTCAGCAGCTGTTGGTGCTTCAGCACAGATTGGCATCCTGGAAATCAGAGATGTGTCTGGAATTTGTAAAATTCTAAGTACTATGAAGCAATTCGCTTTGATTGCAGCAGTGACAAAATTAATCCATATTAAAGAACTGTTCCAGAAAGAAAAAAATGACATTGGCAGCCATGTTGCAATAAGCACTTCAAGAAAAAAACAGAAGGCTTCTCAGTTCTTAGTTCCTAAGAAGTTAACACTGATGTGAGATGCTGAGTAAACTTAAAGAACTACTGCACTGTAATTTGAAAGTTACTACAATCAACGAGGTAACAGCAGCCTACTAGTCTTTATTGACAGTATTTGACAGTACAGTGGTGCAAAAAATGTGTATCAGGTGTTTTATAACTCTCTTTTGGAAAAGGCTGCCTGCATGCTCCTATTGCTCCTTTTCTGTACACTTAAGCACAGCACAATCAGCTGGTGAAGCTGAGCTCCCATTCTCCCACATGTGTGCAACAGAACAGTGTCCATCTCAGATGAGGAGTAAGTCTATTTACAGTTCCTGCAACTTTGGGAAATCCACAGCACCAACTCTGCTATCTGGTAGGCAAACTGCAGAACCACAGCATCAGCATCTGATGGAAAACAGAGAGTTTTTGATTGCAGTCTTGAAAAAAACAAACCAGTGAGAAACTCCCAATGCTAAATGAAAAAAATAACTTCAAAAGCAAACAATTCCTCCTTTTTTAAAAGACAGTGTCTTCTTTCTGTCACGTCACATGCCCAAGGTCAATCACAGTTGTAATTATGCTTGGTATTGTCCAGTGCATTGGAAGACAGCTCCCAGTAACAAGGAGTTTGCAACCCAAGCTGCTATTGTGTTTTCATGCTATTCCATAAAATAATGGGATAGATTTGATTTAATGTGATTTGTATTAAACATGGGTCAGAAACCTTCACAGAGACAAAGAACCATCTTCAAATGTGTTGAAAGCAACCACTACATAATTAATTAACTGTTCCTATTCTTTTAGAGGACTTCAGTCTATTCATGAATCTCTAAGAGCTGCTCAAACAAATACTGAACACAAAATGAAACTTGAAAAAAAGAAAATTCAGAAAGACATGAAGAAAACACCATCCAGATGACCTCCCAGAAGACTGACCACCAAGAGCAAGCCTTGTGGAGTCTTAGAGGTGCTCTCTAGTGAGAGCCAGCGTGGGATTAAAAAAGTAACCTCTAGTATCTAAAGCCATGAAAAATTCTACCTCCAATTCATTATATCTTATTCCATTCTGCCTTCAGCATAAACCAACATGGTAACTTATAGTTGAATGTTTATTTCCCCCCCACCCCCCCCCTTTTACAGCAAGAGCAGCTGAATAACACTGACTTCCCAGGCAGTGAAATCCATACGCAATTCTCAATTCCCCAATTCAGTGATGCTTGTGTGTCTTTGAATTTTGCTGTGACCTAGATTACATAAAATACATGGTTGCCTCAACCTGCACAAATTCATAACCTTTGCTAGTGTTACAGCAGACTTGTTACTATGTGCCAATTTTGTAGAAGCTATACATTGCTTAAAAATCAGGAGAGCAAGACTTGTTACCTCACGTTGCTGAATTTTACAGCAGCTTAAATTTAAACTCATCTTCTCTGGGTGCTTTTCACTGAGTACTTCAGAACTCACAGAGTTTTGTGGAGCTTTTTTTCCTATAGTGTATGTAATACAACTTCAGGCTATACAATTATCTTAGACAAGCAGTTCATCTCTGTTTACAGTAAAAGCAAGTTCATGGTCTTCTGAACAGAAAAAAACCACCATACAACTACTTTTTTTTTTTTTCTAATATGGAATGTTCACAGTTGACAGTAACTCAGCTGGAGTCTCTGGGCTGTTGTCACCTGTCGGTTTTCTAGATGCTAGAAGGTATTCAGGGCTCAGTACTAGCAAAGTGTAGGCTAAGTTCACACAGAAGGATTAAGAGGGGCAGGCAGTTGCTTACTGTGCTGCCAGGAGGTTGGTGATGACAGCCTTTCCACTACAGTGGGTGGCACACATAGCAAGACCATATGCCAAGGATACAAACCATAGGCTGCAAGAATTTCTCCAGGCTTTTAATAGCAGGAAGCTAAAAAAAGTTACAGCTACTCTTGAGAGTCACATGTCTGGCTTTTGCAGCATTTCCATTTCATATCTGCAGTTACTGATAGTTCAGGACTATATGACAGCAGCTCTGTGAAGTATAATAAATCTAAATTTAAAAAAATAATAATTTTAAGGGAAGTGAGAGAATGAAAGTGTGGAAGACAAAGAGAGATTCTTGCTATTCAGAGGTTTTCTTCTTACCTCCACTGACTAGAAGCCTCAGCCCACTGAGCTGAGTTTTCCTGTTAAAATGACAGTGGCACACTCTCCAGAGATCAGTGTGGGTGACTTACACTTCAACTCAGCATCCTATTTTTGGTAAGCCCAGAAAAACTGGTTCCAAAAGCAAGTGCATGTTCAATGCTGTCCTACTGCACGCTTTTGAAGTGCCCTTTCCTGCCTATAACATGGGATCATATAAGCCATTGTAAGACTCTGCTGGACAGAATTTTTAAGATTTAAACTAGAAAATGGACCACTATCATGACTCCTGTCAACAGAGTGAACATCCTCATGGTAACTTTCACAGGTCAGAGTCATTGCTTTATTTATTTTTTTTTTAATGTACATAAAAGTAAAATAACAACATATCTTAAGCACAGTTGTCATGATTCATCCAATTAAGCAATCAGCAGCTGAGTTACCAAGAGATGACAGAAGCTGTCTGCTACCCAGGTCTTAAAATTCTGTGTCAAGAAAATCTGGCATCGCCGGCAGTGGAGTTAATAATTGTACTTCTATGTGTCCAGATGATTCCTTAGGTTTTAGCTTTTATATTTTTCAGATTCTGTATTGCTTTAGTGTGTGGGTCTGCGCTTCATATTAAGGGATGGTATAACTTTCTTCACAGAGGTGGTAGACAAAACAATTCCTTTCCTAGCTTGGGACCAAGGACAACCGCCCAAATCTCAGGCCCAAGAGGATAAACAACATGGACTAAAGAGAGAAAAACAAGAATGGGACTTCATAATCTAAACTGTAACTGGACAATTAACTCCAATATGCTAATGGACCAGAACTTATAAAAGTGTGAGACATGTGACCAGTTGTCCATTTTTGGGACCATTTTGGGTTCATCTTGGGTGCAGCCGTGGCTGGGCTCTTAAACTGCCCAAGGCGTATCCATTGAGGCCTTTTAATAAATATCTACTTTATTCTTTGACTCCATCTAGTCTCTGTTCTAGGTCAGCCTTCACAAGGCATCAGTTCTGGTGACCCAGATGGGACAGAAGGTATCTGGAAGAGCCCTGAACCTAAGAACATCCAGCTCCTGCCCCCCCACTCCTGCCAGCACTCCTGGGAGGGGGCCCTGGCTATGGTTCAGAAGGTATCAGAGCCCAAGAACCCTTGGACCTGACAGAGATGCATGAGTAGATAAAGGAGAATTCTGTTTGCTACCTAAGTTCGGGGGGGAAATACTCTCTTGTGAATAGTGACAAAGTTTAAGTGGGGGGAAAAAACAAAAGCAAATTTCAGAGTTTTCTTTTGAAAATAAATGAGATTTTATGTGTGTAACTCAACTTGAAAATAACCTACTTTTGTTCAAGAAAAAACAAAACTAAAGACAAGGCTGCAGTTGATGAAACAGAAAAAAAAAGTCAGACATAAGAAACAAAACAGCCCAAACTCTATACATTTCTGGAAGGTGAACTAATTAAACTGGATGAACTAATAGGAGTATTTTGCTTGAGATAGTCCATTCTAGGCACTTGCTGACAATTTCTCATTTAGTTCCAGAGCTCTAATATCTCCATTAGCTTTGGCATTTTCTATAAGCACCTGCAGAGAAAAATAAAGAATGACCTGAGAATGTAAGCTTTTTGTTAGTGGCAATCTGAAATGTACTTTCATTCCTGAAAGACCATTTCGCTAAAAGATCATCTAACCCATAATCCCCAAATAGGAAATACTCAACATTACACATCAACTTGCTTAAAAGATCCAAACTCTGCACTATAGTGACTGTAATCACTTCCAATGCTCTGTAAAAGTGTCATTGATTACTTTGACAAGTAGTTACCTGCTAGCAATTAAACAAGCAGACCTATTTTCCTGCTGACACACACTTGTCTCCTGTATTGTATAAATCTTACTTTTGTATAAATCTCCATTTGCCAAACTGAAGTGCTCTCTGCAGCTGCTTTAAAAAACTGCCCTTTCCCTCCCCCAATTAAATTTACACTTCCCTAATTTCTTTTCCACACATCTTATTTGGAGCTTTTCTACTAGGGACCTTAAAAAAAGGTCCCATAGCAACCTAATGCTCATAAGCTTCTGGCACATCTCTTGTAACCTGATGACACTACACATACTGAAAAGGAAAACCATTAAGTAGAACCAAGCAAATCTCCAGCCATTATTTTCATACTCACCAGCAGGGACTATAGAAAACTTTGCAGAAAAAAGTACAATGAGAGCACACCAGAATCTTCTGAACTTATTAAATCTAGCTTTTTTTTTAATCTATGTCTGTGCATGTCTATGCAGAGATTGTTGCCCATATCTTTTTATATGTACCTCCAAATGTACTTTGTACTGGATTCAACATTTCACCACAGAACAGCTGGTAATATGGGCAAAAGACCTTATCAACAGTGGCAGCATTGAGGATAGGAGAGTGTATTCAGATTTTGAGGAGAAAAGAAGATCTCATTTTAAGGCAAAATGAATGACAGCCTACTTGCACTACATGAAAAAGCTGCATGGATTTGTGAGTTTGATCAAATACATTAGTGAAGTACTCTCAACAGAAACTAATGCAGCATCTACTATGTACTAAAAATAATGCATCATTACACACATTATTCTTTCATAGAGATTTTGCTGCTCAGATCTTTTGGGCCAGAGACAGGACATGTTCCAGCCATGCTAGAGGGAATTAACATTATTATTACTAAAATTTTGATTAAATGTCTACTGAAGAATCAACTGTAGAACTGTTCTGAGTTTGGACTAGAGACTTTGCTGTTTTATCTTTTCATTACTGCATGGAGAAATGAAAGATATTCAAACAAGCTGGTGTTGGTTTCAAAAACTGAAGTATATATGCAGCTCAAGACTTTCCTTGCCTCCTTCTACCCCACTTCCCAGCTACTAGTATAATATCAAATGTAAATAGACAGAAGTTCTGTATAAGGTGAACTGTCTTACATCTATTAATTCACAATCATCTTTGGCATACAGATGTTGCAGGAGGTACCAGCGTGCCACCGACACTATGGTTTCTGGATTCCCTGTTTGATAAACAACTCTTTCCAACATTCGCCGAGTCTCCCTGGAAACATAATCAAAACATAATCCAAATAAAATTCAACTGAACAGGCCTCATGAAACATAATAAAGCAAGCAACAATGGCCAGGAGCAATATATGGAAAGCCCTTATTGCACTTCCTGCAAACAGAGACAAGATGTGCAATTGCAGAAGAGAAGGTAATTGGAATAGAATACTACACAAAGTCTAAAATTCTGTTTGGCTGATACTACCTTGCAATATCAACACACCACGTACCTAACAAAGGGACTGTCAAATTCACAGTGCCATCTGAAATCTGGTAAAAACTGGCAACTACATGTAGGGATGTCATATTTATTCACTGGTGCTCCATCAGCTTTGGTTCTTGTTCTAAGAATTCTGTCCTTTATAGCCAATGTAATATTCCAGTACATTGTGATTTAACAGGCTGTTGAGAAGTTTTTGTTTGCTATTTGTATTCAAGATTCATTTATTGTTTCAGGATTTTGTAACACCTAGACAGATCAATTAGATCTTGTGATACACTGTTCATCTAAGTTAGTGTCTGGAATTGTAGTAAGACAGATTTTAATTAAGTTTCTATCTTAATTTTATTGTAAGTGACAACCATCACAATCACATTAGAAGAGACAACAAAAAATGTAAGCCAGTTCCCTAGAATTATCTACAAAAGAGGTGAATT